CGTGGCAGCGTTTCCAGCGCTCTTTGCTTGGGACGAAGGCCATTTTTATGTCGTGTGGTTGTGTATGTGTGTGGGTTTTAGGAAAGGCAGACCTAGGAACGTGCATGGTGGGCTCAATTCATTTAGTTAAGCAGAGCCGATGGTACGGAAACGTATGCATGGCGTCCAACCACTTCAGACGCCTCAAATACGCGTCGAACTATTCGTGTTTTCGCCAACCTCAAAAGACACGTGACCAAAATTGGCGAGCTCTTCGAGCAATGCGTGCGCGCCCGGTCAGGTCGAGGTCAGTCGTGCGGCGTGTGTACGGAGGTGCAGTGCCATAAGCTGGAGATGACCAACGAACTGGTTAAGTAAAAATATGAGTTTAGACGGCTGCTTATGCTTGGCGAGTGAAAGAGCTAAAGCGTAATGCTGCGCTATCGGCAGCATCGGAAGCGGTAAGCAATAACTGCCGCACGGACTGTTTCCTTAATTGTGCTAAGGCTTTGCCACCACTGGCCATACATTTACGTCTATTAATCACCAAACACACAGTGCGAATGTATGCATAGCATAAATACTCAAGCACAGTGACGGGTGATGAAGTAACATTCCTGCCCTCTTAGCTGCCCAGTCAAAGCCAGGTGATGGATCAGGATCGGTGCCGATCGCTGAGTGACGCAACCCGAAGTGTGGCCAGAGTCTGCTTGCAATCTTTCGCATGCTTATCCCAGAATTATCCGACGCGCACGCTACTGGATGTGCTCAGCATCATTACCAGCCACTTACGGAATCGCGACTGCGAAAAACTTCTATCCCAGATTGTACAGTCGGTCATGTAAAACGAGCATGGCATGTTCAAAACTGCGTTGGTGTGTGTGTGTGTGGCTGTCGGCAGCAGCGTCAGCTTGACACAAACTTGTTTGATGTGTGGACACAAGCAGTCGACTGTAATATGGACTCTCATTTGACGTTTTTAAGAATGAAAGCTGAAAACTAAAACGACATTGACCTGTGAGGACACAAATCCGAATCCTAGCACATGTCGACATCTCTGGTCGGGTGCACAGGGGACGCTCCCTTGACCCAGAGCGAAGCCCTATAATGGGAGCGGGTGACGGTAGCGACGGGCCGATCTACAGGCAGGACACTGTCGCCGGCGCAAGTCAGCACAGCTCTAATCCTGTAGCACGACGACCACTCCCCAGTGACTGTCATCTCCCAGGTCGGAGCCGGTCGAGGAAAAGCCTGCTGAAGCCAGGTTTAAGCCAAAGACCTCCACCTACATGGAACTCGCATTAGCCAACTGCGCCACCGAAGTCCGCGGTGGTGCAAGCAGAGACGCCGTTGTGGTCTCCGTACCCTGGTTGAAAGCGGATGCAGTTCAAGTTTCTTGCAGCGGACTTGCAGGTTTTAATAAGCGCTGTTGTATTTAACCTGCTGAAGGGATAGAAGGAGGGGCAGGGCAGTAGTTTGCAATCACCAGCGAAGGCTCCGCCCTCGCATACAATGGCATCGTTCCCCAAAACTGACCGGATTTTATCTGAAGTCGCCTGGCACAGCACGGACTTCAGGGCACCGGGTGCGGCGAGCGTACGCCGTTTGATTCACGCGCCGGCATGCAGCGATCGTATCTCGGTCATACTTGAGAGTCGACCCCGCCAGCTCGGCACATACTTACGGACGGACCAGTTGGGGCGGTCGCCTGTTGCCTAGCGCGCCCGGCTAAACGCGGCAGAAGTGGCGCAGCAGCCGGTCCAGCCCACGCTAATGGGGCTGTCGGCGCGCCGAGGCGACCGGACCGGCGCGACGGCGCCGATCCCCCCTCCCCCCTGGGACGCCGTGCCTTCCGACGACCTTGCCCGGCGGCGTCGCGATCAGCTGCCGCCCGCGGCCCAGCGAGCAAGCGCCCTAGTGGCCAGCTATGCACCTCGATCTCACGACTGCTATGCTGCCGCGCACGAAATGTGATCCATCGAAACCACGGAGCAGTTGGTAAACGCGCGCGAAGACCAACACTTGGTGCTCCATGAAATGGTTGTATATGACACGTTAGAACCGGGAAATGAACCACGGGAAAGGGCTGGAGGATACGAGCTCGCGAGTTCCTGTGGGAACATTTCTTCTTCTCACGCGGTTTGCTGGCGCTCCTTACGGAGTAACTGTTTAACATGTTTCAAGCATGCAGTAGACCGAGGAGATGTGAGTGCACAGGTTATCTAGTGTCCAAATTGGTAAGCCATGCCATACAAGATCATGATGCAAGTTAAGTCATCGGCGCTATCGCATGTGTTCAGTAGATACCTTCACGTGCAGGAATTTCTGTGCCCAATCAACCCGATACCGATGGAACTGCGCTCATACCCACACGCTACCAAGTCCTTATCAGTTGTGCCCGCCCGTTAACCACTTGTTTGCGACCATATGTTAGTGCTGTTGCTAGTACTTAAGACCTGAACTGTTGACAAGCTATCAGAAGGTTCGAACCTAGACTTACACTTTGCCGTTAGTAATTTCAAAAGTGTTTTGAATGGACCTAATTATTGTTCAAAGTAGCGTGCATGGTGGCATTGCGGAGTATTTCTTGACATATATACCAGACATTTCGCGAACGCTCCACCCGTACCCGCCATTTCCCCAAAAGTCGGTACACAGCCCAACCCGATTTACCCGTGCTTATGGGTACTTAAGGGCTTAGTCCATCCGTGAAGCCCATTAGTATCCAGTTTGGAGGTTCATTTCTCCTCCCCCTCCTGCCTGATATGCCTTAAGCCCCTTGTGTCAATGAATTTTAACACAGTACATGACGCCAACCAAAGTTAAATGTAGATCACCCTGGCTTCATGCCGGGCCATAACAGGCAAATTGTTGTGCTCGCCTGGTTCGAGAGACAGGATGGCAATATCATGGCACTCACTATCATGGTAAGGATATTACCTGCGTGCAGCCTGAAGCCGTCTTAACTCGTGTGAGGCAATAAAGCTGTGCTCACCCACAATGTGGTGCATCAGGTCATCATAGGTCATGTGTGTGTCTTCTACGCACGAATATGAGGTCAGAATTAAAGGAGCAAGTTAGTTCACCCCGCATTCCGACGCGTCCCTGCGACGCCTCGCTCGTGTCAGTCCTTCTCACGAGTCAGGCAGAGTTCTTGTGAGGCTACAGCTTCTATTAGCCAGTACCTCACTCACACCAACACTCATTCACTCCACGCCACAATGTCCACGAGCACAACCAACAGCAGCCATGCATATTCGTGTCTATGAGCATATGGCTATTTGGATTAGAGTCCTTTCGACCAGAATTGACAATTTCAGCGCCATGGGATGAAGGAGAATGGATAACGGCGGGGGGGGGGAGGGCAGTACCGCATGCGCCTGGGGGCCAACCGCCAAACCTTAGCCAGGTAGGGACCCGTCTGCGGGATATGCCCTGGGCGCCCGGTCGGGGTCCCCCTCCAGGGGGCCCCTCGGTCCACTCGTGGTTGGCGCGTGCAGCCTGCCCCGGATGAGCGGGGCGCCGGGAGGATGCAGGATGGAGCAAGAAAGAGGATAAAAGCGTCGGATTATATGAGCATTGGAGCATGCATGGTAACAAACGGTTCGCCTTATAAGCTAGCTCCAAATGGAAACGTGCCATGATCATGCATCACGGAAATGATGTGATTATTAACCAACGAACCGGGTGTTGACATGAGTGACAGCGATTTTTGACAATGTGCCAACTTCGTGTTTCTCGTATTCAACCAATGGGACATGGCTGCACGCTCCGATGTCGTCCCGCCGTTCGGAATCAGTGCCCAAGGCAATGCAATGATGCGGCGCTGCTGATCGATGCTACTAGTGCCCCGCAGTTGCACTCGTGATATTCGTGACGTCATATGACTGCATTCGTGCACGACGGACGGGCGTTACGAACATTATAGTGTGGACAAGACGCACGCTCTGTGATGCTTGGCGTTCATGATTTAGAAAGATGGAACAAAGCATTTGCTAAAAATCCCAGAGCGATCGAACTTGTAAGTCCTCCAGCGCTTACGCTACTGGCGCGAAGACGACCGCGATCCCGTTTTGCGCCTCTCGAGGGCGTCTCGAAGGTTGCACGTGCTTGAAACGGTACAAAGGTCTAAGCTCGCACCGGCTTCACGTGGCGATTAAAATCGAGTTTGCAGCTCCTACTGCTATGTATGGCGGCCTGGCAAGCTTTGATAGATGGGACATACATACGGACGCTTTGGCATAGGAACAAGAGATAGCGGATGGTGACTTAAAATGAACAACCTCTGTTTCTGAATCACAAAGGCGCCCGCGGATTTCGGCCATTTGGGTGCCTATTGGGACTCTGAAGAACACCCCAACGGCAATGCAAATACACGACGATTCTCCGCCTGGGGAGGGTTGAAATGTATTTCTGCTAACCCAAAACGGTGCGTCAGTACTGGCTAGAGGTGGCACTGCCAGTGCGGGCTAGAGGTAGAGGTTAGAGTTGGCTTTAGGTGCCAGTGCAAGCACTGGCTACAGGTGGAAGCGTCGGTACTGGCTAGAGGTAAAGGTGAAATGTCAGAACTGGTTAGAGGTGGAAGTGTCGGTACTGACTGGCATCAACCGGCCAAATGGTATGGGCAGGTTAGCGTTTGGGACGGAAGCCTGCGTGACAGCCGACGCTTGGCGGAGCGCACCCAGGCCAGATCAGCTTCGCGCGCCATTCCAAATACGCCGAGCGGTTCCTGGAGGCTGGGGTAGAGACATTCTGAGACCTAAAGACCTTCCAACATTTTTTAGTGCAGCATCACGCCGTTGCATCACATTGCGTGGAAAGAATGGGTCTGAGATGGCTTCCGTCCCCTTCGCCAAATCACCAGCCGGTACATTGCTTTCACCAGCGCCGGCATGGGTCTCCCGACCGTGTGACTAGTCTCCAGCAGCATCGAAGAATGTTCACTGACTGGGTGTGCTTCTCCAACCAGATGTCTGATGTCTGTTCGCGCTGGTTGCAGCGCCTCTAGCCGAAGGACTCGGACCATTGGCCAAGGACAGCTTACGGGACCATCTGCTCTACTTCGACATTTCGCCCGGCCATCACCAAGATGCGCCTGGGCATGGCGACGCTGTGGCTTCACGTCAATGCCTGCAAGCATCGCAAACGGAATCACGGTTCACGTCAACGGTTCAATTGCGCAGTTCACGTCAAAATAAAAAAGGTATGTCTCCCCGGGCACGGTATTTTTGGCCCACATTGCTTTAGGACCAGACGGTATATCATGCCAAAGCCGTGTGACTTACGGTTGTCGGTTCACGTATTAAGGGCTAGTAAAACGGAAACGAAATAGCTGAAGATGTGTAAACGTCGTCCGCTGGCGTACCTTCTGTCAGCGATTGACATGAGGCAAGTAACAAAACGCGCCAATCGCTGTAAAGGTTGCAAGCTGGTTTAATGGACCACATCATTCATTTTAAGACCATCGAGTTTGCTCGACAGTGTCACGTTTCCTCCCCGAGGGCTACAAATAATCAGAAGCGGGGTGCGGCTGACCTTACGAGGGCCCGTGGGCTTATTTGCAGCCTGTTCGGTATGTTGTTTCAGGACTGCGATCATGCCCGATGTCCAAGATCCCAAAGATCCATCCGAAGATCCCAACACGTGCTTTGCGCCGCACATGATGCCTGCGAGGGTGGGTTATCCCCCGAACCTTGAGGCCGGGGGCCGGGGTTAAGGTCGCCGGGGCCCCGGGGGTGTGGCATAATGAGGATCAGAGGCCAGTCTGATTGAGCTCTCTGTTGCCGGACAGAGCGCGCGTTTTCGAGTTAGCTCGACTCGCGGAAAGAGGGTTGAGTATCGCGGTGCGGGCCCACAGCCGGTTGCTGTCGGTTGCCATGGGGCGGAAACCCCAGAGGGCAGGGGCACGCTGTTAGAGACAGACATAGCTACGGGTACTGCAAAAAAGGAGCAAAGACGGAGACGGAGACGGAGACGGAGACGGAGACGGAGACGGAGACGGAGACGGAGACGGAGACGGAGACGGAGACGGAGACGGAGACGGAGACGGAGACGGAGACGGAGACGGAGACGGACAGAAACAGAGACAGAGACAGACAGTGACAGAGACAGAGACAGAAACAGAGACAGAGACAGAGACAGAGACAGAGACAGAGATAGAGATAGAGACAGGGACAGAGACAGAGAGACAAAGAGAGAGAGAGGGAGAGAAAGAGGGAGATAGAGAGAAAAGAGAGGGAGCAAAAAAGGGGAGGGAGAGATAAAGAAAGAGCGAGAGAAAAAAGAGAGAGAGATAGAGAGAGAGAGAGCAAGAGAGAGAGAGATAGATAGAAGAAGAGAGAGAGGAGAGAAGAGGAGAGAGGAGAGAGAGAGGAGAGAGAGAAGAGAGGAGAGAGAGAGAGAGAGAGAGAGAGAGAAGAGAGGAAGAGAGAGAGAAGAAAGAGAGAGGGAAGAGAGAGAGGAGAGAGAGAGCGAGAGAGAGAGAGGAGAGAGAGAGGGAGAGAGAGAGAGAGAGAGAGGGAGAGAGAGGGAGAGACAGGAGCACAGGAGACGATGGCTTTCTGCAATGATTCAGAAGCGCAGTAATGACTCGCGTTTAGTGGACCAGGCATTTTGGATGAAATCGCAAAAGTAGTTGGTCGAGGCGCGTGGGCTGAAAGGTCACATTATGTCCAGACGTAAGGTCGTATTACGCTTGGTGGCGCACGGGCATAGGGTGCGCAAGCACGCAAGCAAGCACGACAGGAGCGTGACGTGGATAAGGCACATGCTGGGAGCCATGCCTGACAGATAGTTGTCTCAGAGTAATGCTGCAAGTCGGAAGTGGGCAGGTGTGGTTCCATTTGAAGCCCTCATATGTTCATTAGCTTAAAATTGTGCTGTTTACCTTTCCGATGCCTTTTTTAGCCGTCCCGCTTGTATTTTTGACATAATTTCGAATAATTTTCTCAGCGGCATACAACCCGGGCTACGAGATACAGATATAATCGCTAAAAGTTAATGCGCAGTTTGGGATCCACCAATTGTGCCCATATGAACATCTGGTAGTCGGTTAGCACTGATTCCATGTACCACTTTCTATAGTAGAAAAAGGGGACAGAGGGCTTTATACACTAGACACGATCAGTAGTGGGGGAAATACGGCTAGATATAGGGGAAAGAAGAAGGTGGCAAGGAAAAGGTAGCAAAAAAGGGTAGGGAGGTGGGGGAACGGAAGGGAGGGGTAATCGGAGGCAGATGCAAGGGAGAGGACACACGGGGTAGGCACAATGGCCGGGAGGGACGCCAGACGGATGTGAAGGAGAGGGAGAAATACAGGGAGAAAAAGGGATTCAAAACAAATGGGGACAGGGGAGAGAGTGGAAGAGGATGGTGTAGGCTAGGAGCAGAAAAAGGCGCAAGTAAATTTCTCTCGTGAATATAGCCTTGACGGTATTATTGCATGGCGTGGCGAGAACACCATGGAAGCGGCGGGACTGCAGCAGAAAGGCGCCTTTTCTTGCAAAACTGGATGAGGTCAGGCAAATAAAGAAAACATCTCATTTTTGGCGGCTGTGGTCTTTGGTTAAAGCATGAACTACGAGTGAAGCGCTTGCTTACGCGGCACCGGAAACACCTTCACATGGTCAACCGCTTTGGGATTTTCCCTTCTCGAAATATCTGCTCAGGAACAGCCTGCTGTTTTCATTGGAGCTCCACGCCGCACCCAGCTCCTGAGGCGATCTGACGTCGTCCGTCACTTATCCTGGCAGGACCGGCAAGCGCCAGCGACAGTCAATAAGCGATACAACACGTGATACAAGCAACATGACACAAACTCCCAGCAGAATCCCGAAGCGTGTAGGATACGGGGCTGGGGCCGCACGGGCGCCGGTTGGCGCGTGTCGATTTTGGCTTCGACTCGGTTAGGTGTGGGCGTGGCTGCTGTCTCACGGCGCTCGTGCGGAAAGGGCGGTCGCCTCTGGTCGTCGGCCACGCCGCGGAGCCAGTAGTGAGCAGGCTGCACGGCCGCCGCACCAGCGCAGCCACCCGGATATGGACCGGACCCGTCCGGACGGCAACAACAGGTCACACGGATACCAGGCCGAAAAAATCCGCCGACTGGTTTGGAATGCGTCCACACGATGCATGTAAAAAATAGTCGTGGGCATGCGGTTACATGAGCGGACTGAATGTTTTGTTGCCATGGTGGACTTAGCGGCTTGGCCGACATCACTGAATTTAGCCTCCCATCTATTTGGGGAAATGTGAAACGAATAATGTTGAGCGAGTGGGCAGCGCGAGCAAGTGAACGCAATCATTGCCGGCAGTTCCAGATCCGTGGCCATCGTATTTGTTTGTTTGCTGGTTTGCCTGCAATTCATACATTTATCATGATCACGAAAATGTACTGTATGTACCAATACCTGAACAAATCACTATGTAATTATGCAGTGCTTGCAACGTGTGAGAACTCGCAAAACTAAGTTAGCAATCATTTAGTTCGCCACCATATATATGGATGAAAATGAATTGTTCCCTAGCCGCCACGGTACAGCTGGCACGTGAATTTGTCCTTGTCACTAAGTAAAAGTCGGGTTGTGTTCTAAAAAACAGCTTGTAATGAGGCAAACATTTGCACTGCACCCAAACCGTGGCATATCCACTATTTTTTTCCGCACATAAACAATGTAGTTAACACACCATAAAGCTACAAAGTGTGAAGAAACGCATCTTTCGAGGCATTGACATAAGCAAATGGAGCCACTTACTGGGTTCCATCCGTGCTTTTAGTGCTCACACGTGACACTGCTATGACTTTAAAAGCAGATTGGATGCACAGACACATTTTGAAAACGGCGAGATTGGTTCGCATAGCAACGAGTAAGCACAGTGGTCATAAGTGTATTGTGATTCGTCGGAGAGCGGTCTCTATAACTGCCAGTATGTAACATCACTTGGCGGGATTGACCTGCAAATGGCAACATAGCTATAGGTGCTTGGGACTGGTAGTTCTGTTGGCGGTTGATGGATGAACGACAGCTAATGGATGGATGATGGTGGTTGGTTGATGGTTGCCCTAAGAACAGCAAAGTCGTGTGGAGCGTTTCACAGTAAATTCACAGTGTAGCCCGTCTGACTCCAGATCGACTCCTGGGACCAGCCCGCCGCCGGGGAATAAGCGCTGTCTCACCCGTGGTGTCGGCACCGCGTGCGCGAGCCCGCCTCGTTACTCCGTGCGGAGGGGAGGGGGGCGGTCTGGGCGGTCCGCGTGTCCCAACCCACCTCGCCATACAGCAACTCCCAGCGCGCGGGGTCGTGTGCAAGCCCTGGTCAGTGACTTCGAACGCGAGTCCTGAATCCGCGACGTTGTTGCAGATGGTTGCTGACAAGGCAGGCAATTACATCCTGAAGGAAGCCATGAAAGTCAAGATCCGCCGGCACCATAACCACAGTGGATACGTGGAGATCGATGTGTACGACCTGGCCTGGGATTGGTTTCGGGTTCCGAATGAAAACTTTGGAATCACCATAGAGACGACCGACCACAGGAAGACGCCGAACCTTTCCATCAACAGCTTTCTGGATGCTCGGGATGATGACAGAGAAAAGGTATGCTTGATACGTGCGTTACAGTAATGCAGCGACCTTTGTGAGCTTTCACAACCCCCCACAACTACAACTAGTTTTTTGAGATACTATGTAATATTTCACTGTATTAGTTGGATACTTCAAATATTACAGCGCCTTTTACGAAAATTCCCAACGCGCTATGCTTTAAGACCTTTAAAGTGTCTCAGAAAGCCATCTTGCGCTCCATCACACATCAGCAAATTGTTTCCTGTTCCATCTGAAGCCTGTCAGAGCTGTCGGGAGGCGGCAGCTGCGCGCCCACCACCACCGCCTCTAGTGCGCGAGCGGGTAACTCGTGACTTGGACTCTTGACCTGATGCCTTGGCCCGCCAGCTGCTGGTGCTAGTGCGCGAGCGGGTACCTCGTGACTTGACTCTTGACCTGATGCCCTGGCCCGCCAGCTGCCGGTGCTGGAGGTACACGTCAGCTCTGATCAGCGTCGCAAAAAGCGCGCCCCCAGCGGCAACTACTGCTCGGACGACAGTACCGAGACCAAGTGCTGCCGCTTCCCACTGGTGGTGAACTTCCACGAGTTCGACTGGGACTGGATCATCGCGCCCATCTTCTACAGCGCCAACTACTGCTCGGGCGACTGTCCGTACGTCTATCTGCAGAAATACCCGCACACGCACATCGTGCAGCAAGTGGGCGGCACGGCGGGACCGTGCTGTGGCCCCCGCAAGCTCAGGCCCATCGAGATGCTCTACTGGGACACAAGCAATCACATCAGGTGAGGCTGTAGGCTGCCCTGCTGGCACTCTTTCAAAAGCATGCCATATTAGTATCCGGATATCCCGCTGGAAATGCACCGCGAATGGCACCAGGTGATGGGGGGCGGCACTGGGGCCCTCCGCCATATCAGGTCATCCTCCGGTCGCGCTGCATTGGGTCTGCTCCTTATCGCATGACGTGGGGTTCGGCGTTCTGTGTTCGGTGTTCTGTGTTCTGTGCATTGGGTCTGCTCCTTATCGCATGACGTGGGGTTCGGCGTTCTGTGCGGTGACACAAGTTGCAGCAGGTGCCACTCCTCGTGATGCACACCGTGTCTGCTTATCACGGTAGGGGATGCCCCGTCACTGGGACTTGCATCACATCAGGTTTTCCCTGGCCTCCCAGCGCTGGAACCTCCCGCATCATATCGGGGTTATCGGGACGTTAGCTTGTCTGCAAATTAGACCCTTCGTCAGGCCGGGGAGGGATCGCACTCTGCTGGGACTCACGGCGATGAGGTCAGGCTCAGACTCAGACACCTCAGAGGTCAGAGGTCAGAGCTCAGGGTTGATGGGGTCAGACTCCAGACACCTCGCTGGTGCTGCTCCGACCTGGACGCGGGGCGTTGGAGCGGCGTGCCTGCCGGTCGCGGCCGCTGCCGAGCAAGGCCGGCCGAGCCGCTGCAGTGAAGGACGCGGACGCACCAGCTTGTCACGGACGCACCAGCTTGCCGACGTGGCCACCAGGCCGCGGCCACATTTGTCAACGATGCAGCCACGTCTCGATGCTATCGGCGCATTCCACGTCACCGAGCAAACGTACCAGCAGCCAGTACAGGCGCTTGGAATGCCCCACTTCACAACTGCGCAGCGCTGGTCATGTGCACAGCGCCCGCCGGACCCGCGGGCGCGCCGCTCCGGTAGGGCACGCGACCCGGCTGTCACCACGGGTCAACGGGTCACACATTTGCAGTACGCCAGCTGCCGGTGCTTGGTGACCGATACAGGGCTGCTGCTGGGCTCGGACCGTGGCGGCTCAGTCCGGCAGGCCTAAGCTCACACAGTGCACTTAGAAACTCAATGCGAATGACCCGCTCTGAAACAAGTCACTTGTTGTCGGGCGGCAGCAGTCAATAATGGCTACCCAGCAGCAGTCAAGTCAATGGCTGCCTTCAGTTTTCGAGGGATGACGTGAGGAAAGTACAACTAGATGTCACATTTATCACGCTGGCGTTTTGTGCCTGGATGCTGATCCCACTGCACCTGCGGGCTACCAGAACAAGACCCCATTCGGTTACAGCACGTTTTGTGTTGAAGTGATTCAGCCAACTTTGCCGCATCATCATATCCTACCACAGTGCTAGGCTCAACGACAAAGGGTGGTAAGCGTGCCCCATTCAAAACGCACAGAGCCATTGCCAACAAGTGGTAAAATCCAGGAACGACAGTGGCAAGCCGGGCGGCAGTGCGCTGCTCACCCGCTGGCGCTGGTCGGCTGGCGCTGGTCGGCTGGGCGCTGCGTGACCGGACCTGGCCCTGCCATCGCCAGCTGCAGCCGGCCACGTGCAGATAGGGTACGACGCCATCCGGTCCTCGTAAACCGGTGCACTGTCGGCAACCGTGCTCACGTGCAAGCCGGGTAGGGACCGACCTGTGGACCACGATAGGATCAGAGCTGGTGGGCCATCCGCACTGCATCCCATAGCTGCCAGCGGCCGCAGAAACTGCCGTGTAACCATTTCATAATCGGCACCTGTAAAAGTATCGTTAAAAGTTGATCGATTCTTCCGGCAGTGGACGTTTTACGAACCGCAGCAAATTCGTACCGCTGATTTCAGTCACGGAGGCCAATAGCAGGTGGGAAAGTAGGGCAACGGCGAGGCCGAGTGTGTACCCACATTTACGACACCCCAGGTACGCGCACACCGCTGGGGAGAGCTGCCAGTTGACATGTGCAAAAAACAAGAAGGACGTAGGGCGCGGGTGAGTTATTTTTGTGTTACAGTTCCTCAGCCCCAGCGAGCCAGGGCGGTTATTGGTACCACCCTCTTTGGCTTTTTAGGCTGTTTTGTAGCACATTCGACAAAATCGTGGGGACTGCCAATGTTTCTCCCACTAGCTAAATGTGAGCTTTTATATTCGGAATATAAACCACACGTCTGTTCAAGCTGACGTAAAAAAGTAAGCGAAGCCTCCTCAGTGGGAAGGGGTGTAATTACCTCATTTCCTTATCTGGCCATCTTACGTGCTTGCGCAAGATGGAGCTATTTTTAGCCATACTCCAGTGGGAGAGATCGTGATAATTTTGTTCCAACCTTGGAGCGGCGAATTTACAATGTGGAGGGAATGTGGCGACAACAGGGCCACGAAAATCGCAGCGCGTTCGAAGATATATCAAACCTATAATATTCACATAGTGATTAGAACGTGATACGTATGCGTTATTCAGCAGTCTTTCGATGGCAGAAGGCGCCAAACCAATGAAACAAGGAATGCAACGAGGGTGAAAAAGAACACATCTGGAAAACTTAAAACAGTGGGTTAGGAAATCTGAGACCCAGGGAATCAGGCCGTGTGCGAAGGTGGTGCTTTAGTATTCCTGAGAGTATTTATCTGGTAGGGCTTGAAATTTCGCGCTGTTCGATTGAGCATCTCAGATGTGTCACTTGACGTTTGAGCAGTTGTAGCCGCATTTTCCAGATCACAGAACATGTGACAGCATGGCTCATGACAAATTTCGAGAGGTAATGAGCGTGCTTGGCGATGGCTTTAAGCGTTTGCTTGCAAAACGCCAAAGGACGTCAAAGAACTGCCATGTTCTGGTCAGAAAGGGAGGAGAAAGTTCGTGTCCTCCATGGTACCCACTGGCATCAAGTTTCTACGCCTTCCTGTACAAGGGTTGCCCAGACGCGCCTCACCCCCAATGAGGACTGCGGTCGGACTGAAATGCCCATTAGCAGGCAGTAAACGGTCACCCCATGGCGCCAGGGAGACCATGCGTATACAAAAGTCGAGTTACTTCAGTAATTAGTCGCGGAAGGGTGTCTGGTGCCGGTTGAAGACGTTTAGATAAGGCGGAACACGTGCGAGAGGGAGGCCCCCAACCTGGGCTGCCCCGGGCCGGAAGCTGGCCACGCCCCCAAGTCGGACCCGCGCAGGCGCCTCCCTGCCGCTAACGGAATGGGCCCGATCCGCTGTTCGGGTGATCACATTCCCATTCCATACCATTCCACTTCATGACCAGATTCCATTCGTGGCGCACCGCCCGGACCACGTGCGTCTTATCCGCAGCAACGCAAAAGCAATCGCATTATTGGCGATGTTTGAATGCAGCTGGGCCGTAATTCGCTGCGATGTTCGCTGGCATTCAATGCGGCGGTTCGCTCAGTTATGTCGAGGCGCAATTTTGTCGAAAAGATGCTGTGGTTTCTGCGCCGGAAAGCGCGTGCGGCAGGTTAGTTCTTTTGCGCGTTCATCGGGTCCAAGGGGCTGAACTATACGTCAGAAATACATCGAGCACATATGCGCAGTAGGTGCACCAGCACTCGACCTTAAACATTTATTTTGACAGATTATTTCTACGTATGGTCATGCTCCGATGCCAGGCCTGTCTTCAGTTACGTGATCATAAATTTCCTCAGGACGGGCCGGGGAAATATTTAACTTTCTCCGAATTCCTGCGAATGTGAACCGAATCCTCCTAAGTTGCCCAGTACCTGCTTTAAACGTGTTGCCTCCGGGTGGCGGCTGGGGGTTAGGAGGCCATGGCCCAGTGGCTCCTTCCTTGGCTGCGTCCCGGGCTGTTTTACACGCGCGATACGTACGCTATGTTATGCGCCTCGAGTCACGAAGGTCTGAATGCGACGGAGCAGCTCCGTTCCATATCATGTGCGTGTGAGAGCCCACCCAATTGCTTTCATTATCGTTGCAATGTGAGCAACAGCAGCATAATGCTTTCAGGCAGTGCATTGTAGAATAAAGTGATATCTTAACGTACATGTTCACTGTTCAGTTGCTTGACATATATGTTTGTGGTTATGAGCACAAATCGGCAGTGTTGACGTCTGACGCCCCATCTCGTTCAACTGACCGACGTCCCGTTCCGCTAAACGACGTTCCGCTAAACGACGTTCCGCTCTGCTGACCAAAGTTCCGTTCCGCTGACCGGCGTTCCGTTTCCACAGGTTTGACTGGCTGCCTGGTATGATTGTGGAGAGCTGCGGCTGCCTCTAGACGGGCGGCCAGCGCCGCGCGGCCTGCGGCCCACATCCCCGGCCGTGCCCGCCGCGGCCTGGCGGAGAGAACGAGACGGAGGGGGAGACTGGGGTGACGTGCGCTCCCCATAGCTGTGATACGTCGCCGGGTCCTGGACGTGGCCGGGCGGTGCCCCCGACTGTCGGCGACCGTGCCGAGCGGCAGAACAATCGGCCACGTCCGAGCCGGGCGAGCCGAGCCGGGCGAGTAACGGGCGCCACGCGCCGCCCCGGCCCGGCCGCGCCCGTCACTCTTCATGTGTGCTGCGCAGCTTCGCCTTCGCGCGTCCCAGCAGCGTCAGCCGCCACCGGAGCCGCCGCACAAGCAGACGCGCCACGTGAAGACCAGCCGAAGCCGAGCGCACGCTCTGTTATGACCCCGATACGGCTTACGCCTCTCCTGGTGGCTCATTAGGACTCGGCCAGCCGTCAATCATTGCGGAATACGGTTTATGGCACGCGGACTGCAGCTTGTTAAAGCTGAAATTCCTCGGTGTCTATCGGGGGCTATCGAAAGCGTATACACGCCGCATCCGCTGCCGCTGGGGCAGGCGGCTACTCTGCATTTGTCCGTAAATCACCGCGCTTCCGTCTTGGGCCTGACAGCTGTCATGCACTCATCCTGCTGATTTCGAAACGTCTGTCCGCAAACTGCGCACAAAGTCCAGCCATGGAGCCAGTTCCACCCACAGCAGAGGCTGCTTCCCGCCAGTCCTACAGTCACTTACATATACAGCTCGAGTTGGATGCGATGCTAATACCGAAATATTATGCACATAATCGCGGCGCGTTTGGGCCCGGCGTCCTCGCTTGACCGATGGTACACTTAAAGGGCGCTCCATGTGGCCGGTACCGTTCGCCTTATCAACACCAGCACGTCACATATGGGCGACGGCGAAGGCGCTCCAGCTGCTAAGGAATATACGGACGATAGCAATCCGTTCGCCCGCGTGTATGGCACCACAATGGGCTCTCGCTAGATCCACGCGACGTGATGCTGCCAGTGCTGAAGCGTATTTACAAGCTGGACGAACTGCAATCTGGTTTTTAAGTGCTGATGAAAAATCCCCGTTTTTTGCGACTTCAAATTCCTCGATGTTCCAAGCATCTCCTAAGCCATTGCACCTTTCAAACTAACAGAGTAGGAAAATTTGAGTAGGACGTGTCAAACCACAAATACTGAGTACTGGTGTTACATTGATGTTGAGGTACAAGTGCCTCAGAAGAACAATCAAATGTCATCACTATTCGAGCAAAGCGGTGACATTCTTGAAGATTGGATGTGAACTTCCCAAAATGTGGGTCCACACAGCGCGAGCCCACCTAGACTTTTCTCCTCCGACTTGGTCGTCGTGGCTAGCTTCCGTTATCACGCCTTTCAGTGGCTGTGGGTCAAACAAGCACATCCCCATTGACTGAGGACTGTCTGCGCCCTCGCGCCCACATGGGATCGAGGAGTCGACGTCTCACCAATACGCCATCAGCGCTGACGCCCCTCGCCCGGGCTTTCGTTCGCCCGAAAGGATTTCAAATGGAGCTGGCTTTTAACGCGTTGGCCGTGACGGTCATGGTACAACATTGTCAGCTGGCATCTGGCTTAACGACGGTGCGGGCTGCGCTTGCGTATTCAAGACTCAGTGTTTCTATTCATAATCACGTATATATTTTAACCGTAATTTATTATTATGGTGAGAGCTGTCATCAGCATTTGTGCATGTGGAACATAGAAGAGGATTTGTACTGCTGCATGCAGGGCCGTGAGCGCTCGACACTAAGTCTGAGAAGGTGCTGCCATGTGAACAAGAATGAGTGAGCATTTAGCGATGAGCGACTCAGGTTCAGACGTCTTTTCATTTTGAGAGAGTGCGATTGCAATGTGTCAACGAACTGATCTTTCATTTTCTTGTTCAGCCCAATCTGTTCTTCGTTCATAGTTTGCCACTGCTTGTCCATAAATCCGTTTGTCAGTAGAAACACTTGCTTGAATCGCCAGTGCTCTTTGTAGACTAGATCAAGTGCATTTACCTGATGTTCGATTTTGCGTTAGATAGTATTCATCGTCATGCGTCTCTGACTTAAAATGCTGCGGTTCATTGTCACTCGGTAGTAGGGCACGATTACATGATGCAGGGGTTTGGCTGAAGCGGCTGGTCACCTTGATACGGTCGGACACAGCCAGGTTTGTTAAAAAGCCTGTTTCTTTTCCATAGAGTTATTTCGTAGAAAACGCCAACGTGCTTTTTGTACTTGAACTTTGCCGCCATGAGTGAACATTCTCGTAATAAACGATCTCCGACGCAAGCATTTTCTGAAGATACCGGCGCATATTGTACGACCAACACTGTTTTCGGTTGACCTGAACTACCTTCGTTCATCCTAAGTAAGTCTTTTCGACATGCATTGACTTAAATTGTCAAGACCTTTAATGCTACCAGATGAAGTATTTAATGCTGTCACCATGGCAAAACCGTCACCTGGCAAACGTCATTCACGCTGTACGCCGGACGCAATGACAGCGCGCTAAACCGCCACCTGGTGACGTCATTCACGCTATAAGCCGAACACAATGGCAGCGGGTTAAACCACCACCTGGTGACGTCATGCACAGTATATGCCGGCTGCAGTGGCGGCGGGTTAAACCACTACCTGGTGACGTCATTCACGCTGTACGCCGGGCGCAATGGCGGCGGGTTAAACCGCCACCTGGTGACGTTATTCATGCTTTACGCTGGACGCAGTGGCAGCGGGTTAAAACGATGTAACTAACAGGTCTGGTCGCCGCCAACTGAAAACAAAAGGACCGTCGAGTTCGGACTAAAGGTGGTCGAAATATATTTTTCATTTAAAGTGCCAGAACAACGTTGCGAAAGAAAAAATGTTTTCCAAAACCGTCCAACGAGGCGCGTTATAGCCGACGCTTCCCCGCCGGTAGCAAGAGCCCGACGGTGGCGCTGCCTACACGCGTTTTTGCCATATGGAAGCCTGCGGAAAAGCATTGTGTGTGAAGAGTTTGCTCCCACTCAACGTGGCTGCCGCATCTCTGTGTCTCGCGTGCAGGGACGGATCCAGGCTTTCGTCAAGGGATGGGTACGGAACGTTTTGAGGTGCCCGTAAAGTTTGGCCCTCCCCCATAAAAAGTCCTTGACGTCCGGCCATCAAATTCTAAGTTCTTAGTGTGCTATTTCTTATCTAAAGAAACCCTTTTTATTGTGCGCATCCCTAGAAAATTAAGTGCGATATGTATGCACATACATGGAGCTTATTCATTTCCTCCAGAGCATGGAGAATCCTGTCATTTTGAGGCAAAGTTTTTCGAGAAATAAACTTGGTATAATAATCTAAAGTTGACCGCTAAATACCATTGAAATTAAACACGAGCTCGATTCCTAACATATTTACAGGTAGGCGACTGGTCGATGTGATCAGCTGGTGGCTGATGACTAGCGCAGTTCTCACCTTGTTATGAGTGAGTGCAAGATACTCTAGCATTAAAATTTATTGCTTAAAATGGATAAGAATATGAGGCACAAGTATAATTGGTGTCATATATTCATGAGCCAACCTAAATATACCATGCGACGTCGGCGGCAAGTAGAATTGTGTTGGACAATCGCGCACAAAAAGTCAGTCAGCGCAAATCCGACTGCTTCCCTTAGTCTTAGAGCAGATAACGGGGCGGTACCGAGGCTAATATGAACGGTGGCTGAGCGATCATAGGTGCCGCGGGAGAAACAAAGAGACTTCCGTCAACAGGTATAGGGTCCTCAGATCAGGCGAGAACAACTCGAGACCAACGCAGTGGGCCCCTAAACGATCAGGCATGTTAGCAGAGAGCGCCCCAACAGCTGCGGAGAGGCCCACGAGAAAATGCAGAGATCGAGGGCGACGTGGAGGGCTCCTTAGCGATCGGATTGACCCGGCAAGTATATATATAGGGCTCCAGCAACATTGTAATGCCCAGAGAAACAATTGTAATGCCCCTGGAGAGCGCAGTGAGTTTGTCTGCTCACGGGCTTCAGTTTCGCTCGTGACTGTTCTTGATCGTCTGGAGGCCCAATGACGTTCTATTTTGTTGTGTTTTGCATTTGAAAGCTGTGTCTGTTCGCCTAGTCATGGACCCCCTCAGAGCCTATGGGTCCACTCGGGGCAAGAGGGGTAGCACGGTTCCGTGTCCCCCCCCCCCCCACCCCCCTCTCTGGATCCGCCACCGGCCTGAGCAGTTTGATGGGTGGAGCCCCGACAAGAATGTAGAGCCGTCCGTTCAAATAGGAAGTATCCAAGACGCAATGCGGAAGGGCCCAAGAATGATCGAGTGTGCCCGAGCACGTTACAAGATGGGGCCCACGACAAGAGCGCAGGACGCTCCATTCAAACAATAAATATCCACGACACAATGCGGATGGACCAAACAATCTGATGCACACGAGCAGGTTGGCAACAAGACCTGATGTGCAGGGCCCCCGAACAATCCGGTGTGTCCGAGGAGGTGAACAGATGCGGTCCTCAGCCAGTTCATGGGGCCCTCCATTGCAATAGGAAGTACCCAAGACACAATGTGGAGGGCCCCGAACGATCGAGTGTACCCGAGCGGGGCAACAAATGGGGGACCCGACAAGAGCGTACAGTCTTCCATTCAAGTAAGAAGTGTCCCAAACTCAGTGTGGAGGGCCCCCGAACAATCCAGTGCGCCCGAGCAGGTTAGTATATAGGGGCGCCGACAGGTACATAGGGCCTTCTATTCAAATAGGAAGCACCCAAGACCCAATGAAGAGGGTCCCCGAACGGTCACGTATGCCCAAGTAGGGTAACAGATGGGCCCCAGACAAGGGCGTAGGGCCCTAAGCAAATGACAGAAAAATGGAAGGGCCCTTTACCAATGTAGAGGGCCCATAAGCATGTTCGGAGTGTGGCGGTTGGTTAAACGTGACCAACGTGAAGGGCACCACCTGAGCAGCCGAGAATACCCGGCATGTAAGCATATGCCCCCCCCCCCCCCCGGCTCTTCGTAAAGAGCGTTTCGGGTGAACGGAAGGAATCCGTGAAAGGCCCTGATTGGCAAAGAGCGCCCAGGCACACTGACAGGAAGGGCCCAGCAACGGTGCAGGGCCCTGTTGCTGGGCGCTTTTGACAGCAAATGCAAATGCAATGAAATCAAGGGCAACGTCGAAGTTTCCTCAACGATCAGGCTGACACTGCAAGTGAACGTCTAGGGCCCCAGAAACAGCGCAGGGCTTCTGGGCAGCGTACGCAGTCTTAAAACCTTCCAATCACCATCCTCTCAATCAGTGAAAAAACAACTTTTGTCTACTCGTGGGCAGTTTTTTGCCTACTCTCGCTTGCGACTGCTATTGGGCGCCTGGAAGCTCAGAGACGTCCAACTCTGTTGCGTTGTGTGTAAAAAAAAGAACTACTGCGTCTGTTCGGCCAGCTATGAGCCTCCCCGAGCCCATGGGCCCCTTTGGGACTCGGGGGGGGGGGGGGTCATGACCCCGTGGCCCCCTCTGGATCCTCCCCTGCCCGCGTATCGCTTGGTCCGTGCCATTGATGTCGACAAACGCGGCCTTTCGCACACAGTGTCATGTTTTTAAAAGACGTTTCTGAGCAACCACTGCCTACCATCCCAGGTGAAATGGTAAACATGAACATCAGCTGGGTAAATCTTAATAGAGCTGTGAAGCCTTGCTAGTTACGTACGGTTGTGAGTCGCCATCAAGCGCGACTGGCTTTTTCATTTCATCATCTCGAGAACCACACAACGTCGTGCAACGCTGAGATGCTTCGGTTCTCACGACCGAGATCTTCCCCTGCACTCTTTTCAAGTGCTCCCAAAGCTCTGCTCTGCTACGGTTTTCTTAGCCCCAGATGCCGCGAACGAAAAAAGTACTTTTGATGCATTTCGGGCGCCAATGTCAAGAGGATATACAGCCTCTGACACGCAAACCAAACCCAAGTTCGTTTCAGTGGACGAGGGGCTACAGCATCACCGGGGTCATTTACATCATAGTTACAGCTGTTTGACTCGCGCCAAGACTCGACAGCTGACGAGCTGGCGGCGGCGGCTCCGGTTGGGCAGCTGGCAGCGACTGCTACTCTGGTTGAGGAGCTGACAGCGGCTGCTACTGTGGTTGAGGAGCTGATGGCGGCTGCGGCTGTGGTTGAGGAGCTGACAGGGGCTGCGGCTCCGGTTGAGGAGTTGACAGCGGCTGCAGCTCTGGTGGGAAAGCTGGCGGCGGCGGCTCTGGTCGAGCAACCGGCGGTGGTGTGCTGATTGAGCAGTTGTCGGCGACTGCGCTGGCTGAGCAGTTGTCGGCGGCGGTGCTGGTTGAGCAGCTGCCGACGACTGCGGTGGTTGGGCAGGTGGCAGCAGCAACAAGGGTCGAGGCATCGCGCTTCCACTTCTCCTCTCGCCCCCGGCAGTATCCTGTCTTCGCTCGGCCTGCTCCGCCGATACAAAGTCGCCGGTCCGATCTCCGGTCAGTAAGAAACAGCGGGTTTTTAAGGCGCTCAAATGCTACAATACGTAAGCTTCCAGATGTCAAAAGCCACGTCATACGAGAGGTGAGTTTTGAGCACTACCGCACTGCTTAGGGTGTCTCCGCGTCTCTTCTATGATGCTTCATAACTTAATGATCGTGTCTCTTACACAGCCTTTTCTGTTTGATGGGGTTGGCGTATTGGCCCAAATGGCAATGACCATGCCGGCTACGTTCCTGCCTTTACTGTTGCAGCACTTGTAGGTACATACTTTTCTTCAACATTTCGTCCTCCCATCTCTTCAAGCCTGCGCTTCATCACTCCTCCCACCGCCTGATCGCAGCAAAAGCAAAAACTGGAAGCAGCACACAGCAGACCAACCGAGGCACGATCAGAAAGGTAAGAAGTTCATTACATTAATCCCATTTCTTTTTTGCGTTACTGTTCGGCAGCATCTCACATTGTTGGGACGAAAAATATCCTTCCTTATAATGGTGATCTCACTTTACCTTAGCCGTGACCTCCCGACTGTATGCTAATTATTCCTATTAACCTCCGTCACAGCGAGTGTACCGCAAGACGCTGCGCCGACGGCTTCGGACGGCCGCACTGAACAACTAGCGACAGCTACCGGGAGAATCGGTACTACAAGGCACCCATGTTCAGAATCACCTACGGGATTAGAAGCAGACGACACACACTCCAGTGGACTCAGGCATCATCGCAGTGAGTCATAGATAACACATAATGCTAATGAACCTAATGCGCTGCTATTTAAAGGGGGCATACGATCTCTTTTCGGGATTTTCTCTGGTTT